TATATATATATATATATATATATATATATATATATATATATATGTATGTATGTATGTATGTATATTTCTTTGTTTTTCTTTCTTTTTTGTAGGTTTTATGTGTATGTCTCTTTAGCCAGGTTCTTCTATATATATATTCTTCTCTTTTCGTAGGCCTTTATGTGTATTTTTCCCTCAGCTGGGTTTTTTCCTACGTAAATCAAAATCTTTATACAGTGAAATCCCATTCACTAGTTTCTAGGCTTTTTCAGACATCAAACCAGCATTTTGCTGTCTATTGGGAGACTAAAGGGGGACTAAGATAGATCTATTTCGGACTAATTAGTCCTCATCAGTTAGCCATACTCTCATCTCATGTCTCCTCCCCGTAAAGGTCAAATATTTATTTTCTTTTCAAATATATATTTGCCTTTTCATCTTCCCGTCAAACAAAGAAGATAGGATGGAGAAGCAAGTGAATGGACAACAGCAACAATGGTGGGGAGAATAACCAAGCAGGACCATCCTGAAGACATCACAAATCTCATTCCACTTCCTGAGACCAGCCTATTGACTTCTGTGGCGTGCCTCCTTCCCCTGCTGAAGCTGCAGGCTACAATTTAAGTGTTGGTTTGCATGCACTAATGAATCTTTCAGGAGAAAACATTCTTTCTCTTTACATATTAGTTATTTTTCATAACTGGTATTCTTAGATCTATACTGATTATAAGAAAAGCATTTCTTTCTTCTCCAAGTAAAGCTAATACTTGACAAATTGGAGAGGTGGAAACCAAGTTGAACTTAATGATTTGATTTCCATAATATTTAAGAAGCCAGTCCACATTGTCTTGACAATATCAGAAATTAGCCTACCATTATCCAAATGATTATTCAACACCCTTCATACCAAATTCCATAATACTTACATTTTCACATTCCTCACACATGATAGTGCTGGTCAATTCACCCACAAAAATCCTGTCTATGAAATTCATCTTCACACCCTCTCTTCCATATGCTGGGGGAAAAAAACTTCTTTAAAAATTGTGCATCTCTATTCTAAATTTAGCAGAATTAATTCTAAAATTTAATTCAGAAAATATACATCCAAAGTAAATTATAGTTTGCATCCATCAGCAGGGGAAAAAACTTATCATACCAAAGCTGCAAATACTTGGGTGGCCACCAGATGGCAATAAGAGGAAAGAGGTCACTGGATGTTTGCATCCAGATACAGTTTGATTATAAAAATGAGTTATCTATGACTACATTCAATTTTGGTTTTTATTTCTGCTAACTAGATAAAGATATATCGTTTGTACTTCACAAGGAATGTGGTAGATATTTTATTATGTTGCTATGTTATGTGATGCAGCAGTAAATTCCAGTAGATTTTACTTTCCCCTTAATATAATTTTGAAAACTATTCAAAGAATATGGGTTTCGGTATCTTTAACTAATTATGTGAACTTTACTCATCAACAACAAGCTAAGAAGCACAACTTTTTGCCTTGAGATGATGATATAGCTGGTGTTTTATCAGCAGAAATTAAACTCCCCAACTCCTTACACAGCATGAATTTTATAAGTTCTACGTGTGCTCAAATGCTTCCAGGTTAATATGTTCAGGGCTATAGTCTTCTCTTTATATTCTACGTATCTGAAATCTTTTTTATGCACCCATCAAATTGCAAACTTTTCAGCTTTTCTAGTTAAAAGAAAAGTAGTGCCTGACACCTCACAGTACAATCCTAGTACCTTCTCAGAAATCAGTCTCCCTGAATTCAGTGAAACATTTTCCTAGATAAGTGTGCACAGGTGCTGCAGTCTTCGGTGTGTGTACTCTTCTTTCCTTCTTAATTATTGATCTAGTACTTCAATATGCAGCTTAAATATATTGCCTCTGTTATACAACGCTCTGCCTCCTCCCCAAGTGAAAATACTAGAATTGCCTTTTAGAAATTATAAAGATAGCTATTTTCACAATAAGGAAACTCTTGTGCAAATAATACAGGGAAGTGGTGCCAAAGGAAACCATACCTTTGACTTTTCTTTTGGTTTCTTCATCTGCCGTTTTACTTGTTGGATTATTAAATGCTGTTAAGATTGCAGCTTGTATGCGCTGTAACACAGATATTTAGCACATTTTTAAATTAAAGTTTGCAGTTTTAACTCTTTTTTTAAAAGAAAATATTAAACAGCCTATTAATCTGACTGGGGAATTATTCTTCTTTCGAATTCATATTAATGACATAATTTGAAATACAGTCTCAGTCTTTCACGATAAGACCTCTACTCTTGTTTCCATATTCTTTTATTTAATTAATCTTAGTTATTGTTATACTTCCTTGCCCTTAAAGCCTAGTCAAAGGAGTTGCAAAATGAGTGCAACGCTATGAGATATATAACATTAAGAAGAGCTATAATAAAATACCGTTCTAAAACAAATTAAATATACTTTTATTTATATAAAATAAATTAAATAAATAAATAAATATACTGTATATTATCAGTAATAATTCAATCAGAAAACAACAGAATAATGAACTTTTCCCTTCTTACACAAAGAATATATGTGTGTCACAAGAAAATATACACAGGATTTTATCAAGTCTTTAAATACATTGTAGCTGCTTTTCTAACATAAAGACTAGCAATTTGCACATAATTAAAATTAACTATCTTTACAATAGTCATTTTACTTTGACATATTTTATAATTTAAGATGTGTTTAAGGCAGAACCAGAAAGTGTCCACTTCAAAACTCATTCAGCCTAAATATGAAATTAGAAAACCAGGTTTATCCTAGTCCACCACTCACCTTAAAGCAACAGCTGTGGAAGGAACAAGGCAATCTGGATTGCAATTTATGGGGATTTATTTAACCCTTTATGCCTCTGCAGTCTTCATGAAAAATACCAATCCACCCAACTCAAGCTTCCATTCAGACCAACCCAGTTTCCCCACAAATAAGACTGCAATTGCCATCAGTCTATGGCCATTAGAAAGACCTAGAATGGAGAAGGTTTCCCTATTTTATTATAAAGCCTACTGTTGTCTGAAAACCCATTACTTCAATAATGTTGCAATTTGTGTATTTTTATAAAACGCATCACTTCTGGAATGATTTAAAAGAGGACTGCTGCTTGCATCAAGCATACACAAAGGAAAACAAGAAAATATTGAAATCATCAGCAGAAAGAGAAAAGATCTCCCCATGGAAGAAGAAAACTAAATTCAATTCTACGGTAGTGAGAAAAGGAGGAAGAGGTTCCTTTCTTTGCAGGATAATATATCACTATGAATTGGCTAACAGATGGAGTTAATGTTACAAAGACAAACAAACATAATAATTTACAAAAGATCAATTGAACTAAGTATACTTGCACTGGAACTGTGTCATTCCAATTTTGAAAAAAAATGAAGGTATGATAAAAATGTAATCTTGGACTCTTTTTACTTGAGCTTTTTATTGACATGACTGCATTGATTTATATCAAAAAGACAGTCTTTTAAAGGTTTTAGTGCATCAGACATTAATAAATTAACCAGCCTTGGTGTAAAGCACTCCCGTAAGGGGGTAAGGGGACAGTAGGCAACTTTGCCTGAATTACTGGCTTTTTGAAAATTGGTTAACTGATAAGTATTAATTTATCTAAATCCTACATTTATAATAATTTAGGAAAAAGCAATTACAAATGCAAGTCCATCAACAGGACATATCACTAAGAGAACTGTCTCACAGCTTCAAAACACAGATTAAAGGTAAAGGTTCCCCTCGCACATATGTGCTAGTCGTTTCCAACTCTAGGGGGGCGGTGCTCATCTCCGTTTCAAAGCTGAAGAGTCAGCGCTGTCCAAAGACGTCTCAGTGGTCATGTGGCTGGCATGACTAAACACCAAAGGTGCACGGAACGCTGTTACCTTCCCACTATTTTTTTACTTGCATTTTTTACGTGCTTTTGAACTGCTAGGTTGGCAGAAGTAATGGGAGCTCACCCCGTTACACGGCACTAGGAATTCAAAGTGTTGAACTGCCGACCTTTCAATCAACAAGCTCAGCGTCTTAGATACTGAGCCACCGTGTCCCACTAAAACACAGATTAGTTGACCACAGATCCTGCTGTGGCTCTAAAATAAAAAAAATTAATTTTACCAAAGTGCTTATTATTTCTAATGATTGTTTATTATTGAAAACAGTTCTTCTTTAAAAAAAAACAACTCCACAAGTTTACAAAAAATACCCTCTTTAAATTACTTGTGCAGAAATATAGATAACTCAGAGAGATGGGATAATATAGAACCGCAAAGTAAACAAAAGCTGAGCCAAAGTGAATCCTTATAGGAACCACGAGAACAGGGTGCTTAGTCGTTCTAATCAGTTTTAAAGGATTCTGGTGGCAGACAGACTGCTGGAGGCTTTCTTCAATAAAAAAAAAAAAAGTCACCGTAGTGACACTCTCTAACAATAGCACGATTAACAGCTGTGGTATTCCCATGACAGACAATGTTGCTCAGGTTTGTTCAGGCTGGCACAACTGTCACTGCTCACAAGATGGTCCAGATTCTCAGATCTGACATTCTCCGTTTGCCATGATCATATAGGAACCAGAAAAGGGGAAGGGGAAGGAGGGAGGACGCAACAGCTTTTAGTAGCAATGCCCCTTGCTGTGAAGCCTGAGGTAATAAAATCCCCTGTTTGCTATATTGCTCCTTTACAAAATATGGGCTTAATTGTTGATGCAGGCTCAACATTTGCCTTCCCTAAAGGGAAAGGAAGAAGGGAGTGTGGGATTTTGGGCTATGAAGAAAAGGGGGTAATACAATTGTTTTGATTTATCTCTGCTAATACAGTGCTCTTTTGGGAATTAACATTTTTCCTACCATATAATTTCACAACGGGCTAAAATCAAGATAGTTTCTTCCCCTTTCCAAATTCTCACCTTCATATATGATCTTCCAATAAAATTATCAGCCCCAAACGTATTTAAAATGGTGTAATGGGGAAAGTATACAGAATTTGAGGCTGTGGAAAGTGGAATGGGGGTATTAACTTTCTGCTCAAATTAAATATTTAATTGGTGAAGCTTCAAAAGTTTATAATTAAACTACATGATATGAAACATTGATAAATAAGGCCCATTTTATATTTGACAATCCAGCTATTTTAATTTATGAATATACCATGTCATAATAGCAGAATGAGATATATATAATTGAACTGATAAAGGTAATTTAGATCACCTGATCTAGATTATTCAAGCAGGGTTAAGGACTGTCTGTGATCTTTAATGGCATAAAGGAGGCATTCTAAATAGTATTCTACAAATTGATCAGTATCTAATATAACTGGCACAAAAGTGGTATCACTTCCTCAGATTGTCAGGCATCCATCAGCATTTCTGGCCAGATTTTTATTACTGATTGTGGAGTTTAGATGCTAGAGTCAAAAGCAATCCAATGTAATGTATTATCACACTCATGATAATTAAAATTACGGTATGAAATTAAAGATAATAACTACAGTACTATATCCTAAACTAAGGAGTTCAATTATATTCAATGGGTGGGATTCAGAGTTTTTTCTACCACTGAGTGAAATTCTGCTAGAATTCTCCCAACGATGGGCAGAAGAGGCATTTTGATCTTGTTCTCTCTCTTTCCAGATTCCAACACTATTCTAATAAGTTCTCACCCTCAAAATATTTGGAAGAGATGTTGATGGGACATAAGGGGTGGGGTGAATAGCAACCTACTCCCATTCAACCAGTAAAAAAACTCCAGTGATTCAATAGCCACCAATCAAATAAGGCATACTTCTGTCCATATCCAGAGGGAAAAAATCTCTATAGAGTAGTAACCAAAGCAACACTATTTAAGAGTTTGTAAGGAAAGAGAATATCATAGATCAGAGGTAGGCAATTATTTTCCCAAAGGGCCACATAAGAAACTGGGACTGTTATGGAGGTCAAATCAATAGAGCTGTGAAGGTGCGTAAGGTGCATATACACACATATGTAAACTAAAAAAATAAAATAAATAGCAGTCATCTTCAAAATAAAAGCCACCCATGCAGGCCACACAGGAACAGCCAAAGGGCTGGATGTGGCCTGAGCATTGTCATAGATCATATACTGTAATATTCATACAGCTTAGATCCAATGTATTATTTCAAATAAAAAGCAAAATAAATTCACAGCTGGACTGCAGAGCTAGATTAAAGATTTTTGGGGGGGGTTGAAATTATTAATGCTTCTGTTTTAGAAGTTGCTGCTTTAAAGTTTTGAGTTTAAAAGATGGGATGGGAGGAGGACTGGGAAAATAGTGCAGATAGATACTCTGAAATTTTGCTAATGAGTTAGCGAAGCTGCTGTAGTCCTGCTTTATGAACTCCCATATTAAATAAATATTTTTAAATGTGATTGACAAACAGATACACTGCACAGGGACATTCATTCAGGAAATCAATCAGGCTGCTTATAATTCTTTTATAAGTATACTTTTCTTAGGACCCTGAAGTTGGGCACATAAAAGTTCAGAAATTACCTACCATCAGTAAATGTTTTTATTACATTATTATAATATGTATTATATTACAATGTAAAAACAGCAATATAAAACAGAAGAACTACTTTGAGTGAATCCCTGAACACAGTAAAATATAAGAGCAAATTTAGGTTTGATTTGCAAAACAAATTCGCACAGCAATCAGATAGTACCCAATTAATAAGCTCCATTTAAAGTTAATAAATGGAAGAATTAACTATTACGCCAAAAGCTGCAACATCATCAGTGCTTCACTGAAGATCTACAATCTTGAAGATGTAGACCAAAGCAAATAATTTTCTTAATATATAGCATAAAATAGCATGTTGTTTTTTTTTAAAAAAGAAATAATTTGAGTCAAACTGGCTCTTTTTGCAAAACATAAACACGTCACCTTTGTTTCTTCTATTCTCATTGCATCCAACAAGTAATGGAGTACCTCCTGGCTGTCCTGTTGTTGAAATCCTTTAAACCGAGGGGCCCTACAGAGGGAAAAAATGGACAGTCTCTGGAGAAGGAGTTATAAGGCTTACAAGTAGAGGTTTAACATGTACATGCAAACGTATGTTCAAGAACAATGATGCTGTGGTGGGCAGAGAGAAAAAACAACATTCAGAAAGAGGGTGAGAAACATGGAAAGTACCTTTAGTTTCCAAAAAGACTATAATGTGAAACCTGGCTGAAAGATGACAGGCCTTAACTACATTATCTTGGGACAAAAATAGCAGATTATTCTCTTGGCAGTTGGACCATCATGGATGTAAGCAACATAGAATAAGGTGTTCTACTGGCATAGGGAAGACCAGGTTCTAATCAATTCTCAACCATGGAAGGTTACTTTGGCCCAGTTGCTCTCTTGTAGCCCAGTTTACCTCAGGGTTGTCATACCATAATTACATATCAGGTTGTAACCATCAGCATTTGCGATGTGATTGTGGTAATTTTTGGAGAATTTCCTCCCAGAAAGGTTACATGGGTGGCCCACCAGCTATCTGTTAAGCCCCATGCTTCAGGGCATAATCCACAAAGCAAAACCACTCAACTGCGGAGCTTTAATACAGGTAGTTCTCACTTAGTGACCATTCGAAGTTACACCAGCACTGAAAAAAGTGACTTGTGACCATTTTTTCACACTTAACGACCATTTCAGCATCCCCATGGTCACGTGATTTACATTTGGCTGCTTGACAACTGACTCACATTTATGATGGTTGCAATGGTCCAGGATCATGTGATCCCCTTTTGCGACCTTCTGATAAGCAAAGTCAATAAGGAAACCAGATTCACTGAGCAACATAAATTTTGGGCTCAATTGTGATTGTAAGTTGAGGACTACCTGTACAAGAATTAGAGGTAAGGTACAGAATCTTGGAAATTGCAATAGGAACTTCCAGCTTTCTTTTACTAAGGATTTCATCAAGGCAGAGTCTGCATGTTCTGAATCTCATCTTCTGGGCTTTTGAGCTGCCATCTATTAATGATTTTTTCCCCCATTTATTATCTTGATTTAAGTTCCCATCCTCCTCAAAACTTCTCACATTGCCCAAACAACTTGCCTAAAAGTTACAGAGTATTTTAATGTATATTGTCAGGTGATAAAGTCCAATAAAATTACTACCATGCTATGAATGTGTGGTTTTTATTTTCATTTTGTTCTCGTGAATCAACAGAATCACTCTGATTTTTTAAGACAGCATTGACTCAAGTTATCATCAACCATTCTGATGGCTGGGAAGCAGTGCATCAAAGAGCCCAACTGTTTAATTTAGAGACAGCTTTTTAAAAGTTTTATAACCATTGGGAGATTAATATGGAAGAATATTCAGCATACACTGTTTTAAGCTAAGCTGCTAGCCGAATCATTGCACTTCTATAAACAAAACTGCAAGATGAAAATATGATACTTATCATTTCACCTAGTCACTTGAAGCATAAAGAATGCTTCAAGGTGACCAGGCAGGAAGGTTGAGATCGATGAAGGTATATATGGGGGAGGTGCTAGTAAAGCTTTTGAGTTTATCTGTGAAACTGAAAAGATCAGTCACATTTTAATATGACAGTAACACCATCCTAAATGCAACAGTTTTTTAAACTCTCCCTGAAAAACTGGACTGCTTTCGTATTGTCTTATATTTTCCCAGAGTTTGCCAATAAACTAAAGAACTCTCTGGATCCATATACAGTTTTCTCACATGCAGCTAATCTAACCCCCTTATTCCAAGCAGCAACACCCTAAATTTCCTGTGAAATCCTAAAATCACACGAAGGGGGGGGGAGGAATATAGGTAAAAGAAAAATAGAAAAAGGATACAAAGAAATAGTTTCTGATCTTCTTTACAGCACTTGTAAGTATAATTATAACTTTACCTCTTATTCTACGGTTAGAAAATAATTGTCTGTTTTCTAGAAGCTATTCTGTATAATCACCAAAACCATAAATCAGAAACTTGTTTGATGTTAACTGATGTTAAAGGGGCCACTTTAACAAATTTCATTCCCTGTGGTGAGGAGCAGGTACAGGGAACTCAAAATGATCTGATAAAGGATTAATAGCAACATTGACTTCAGAGCACATTGCTACTGCCTACCCCAAATAAAAACCTGATCTAATTCTAGGTCAGGTCTAGGTCTGGTGTCTGGGGGCAATTCATTCCCCTGCTTTGCACCTAAAGAGAGCAGGATTAAGTTCTCCAAAACCACAAGCAGCCAAGTAGGAAACTGTCATGCAGCACAAAGGCCGGTGCAGTAGCAGCACTCCCATCTAATCAGCAGGGTCTCATGTCCGCTTATATGGAGAAACTATGCCAAAGCCACCAGAAACTCAAGGATGACAATAGTCATTCTACCACCCCTGTCCTTGGGTCCCATGGGTTACACTCCCAACTGGGCACATTTCCAAGATATCTTTTTCCTCCCTACTAAGCCGAGTCTCCCTATTAACCCAAGTCAGGTCAGCTCTAGACCTCCAAGGCCCCTTCCAGCTCTGTTCAGGGGTGAGCTGCTGGGGGTTTGCAGGGGTTCAGGAGAACCCCTAGCTAAGATTCTGTGCAGTTCAGAGAACCCCCAAATCCCACTCCTGGCTGGCCCCGCCCATCTCACTTCCCCCAGGAGTCCTCATGTGGCCTGTTTTGGATACAGGTAAGTGCAGGGCGCGTGTGGAGGTGAAAAATGGGCCTAACCATCGGGAAGGGCCTCCGGAGCCTGGGGAGGCTGTTTTTGCCCTCCCAGAGGCTCGAGGAAAGCTGCCGGAGCCCAGGGAGGGCAAAAACGCCAACTAGGCCACTCCCACTCCCACCATAGCCACGACCACCCAGCAACAGACAGAGAACCCGTTGCTAAAATTTTTGAAGCCCATCCCTGACTCTGTTATACTGTCATTCACTATTAATCCATGGGTGAGAGAGATCTCATTACAGTCTGAACTGGAATTCATCAACAGCTAAAAGCTCAGACTACTGGATCTTGGGGGCTGAGTCCAGGAGCCAGGAATATGGAACCAATACATACACATCAACACCACTTTCTCTATGAGTGACCCATCCCTGCCTCCCACCATTTCTCCTCTTGCCCATCACCAGCAAATTTCCAAGTTGCCCTTTCTTTGCACTGACTAGTGGAGCATGGCATATGCATATAACTGTTGTCTGTCCTTTTCTATATTTGGTGTAGGCTACAACTGACAGAACAGAGCTTACGGTGCTTTCTAAAAAAAACCCAGACTATGAGAAGAAAGAACATATTGCTAGCTTAGTGGACTTTCCAATAAAATTTCAGGGAGGCCAATTTTTATTTGCTGCCTAAGGAAAGATGTTCTGAACAGTAGTTTTAATGTATGTCAGCAACTTGTCCTATACAGAATAATTGCATTTGTCATTTGCCCTGAGAGGACCCTTTCAATGAAGACCTTAGGTAGCTTCACATATTAATAACTATAAGAGAGAAAATAATATATACAAAAGAATCCAGAGAAGAAAATGGGGCAGTTTCCAAGCACGGCTTGAAAACTTCAGAAATCAAAGAAGGTCCTATGCTACAGAAGAAATAGCTCTCACATTTCCTCAAGTTTTGTAAAAGTTCTAGTGGATCCTTGACAATCACTAGAGACATTGCTTTTAGGAACTATTGAGGCCAGGAGTATTAACCTACAGTCTCAGTGCAAATTTCATGTGGCCTTTGGCCCAATTTTCAAAAATATTTTGCAAGCCCTTTGTTCAGCAGTTTTTGTCCTATGAAAAACAATTCTAAAAACAACTGAGCAAACAGGAAAAGAAAGAAAGGAGAAGAGAGAGGAAAGTGACTCTTATTTCTGGCTCTCTCACCGGCTTCAGTTTTCTGTATCTGTATTCTACCCCAATAAATTTGATTATGTACCATCAAGTCATTTTCAACTCACAATAAATACATACAGTAATTAGGTTTCCTGCACAACAATCTATTTCTAACCTGGTCTTTCAGGTCTTCCAACATCATCACTCTAGGCCCATCTACCTTGCTACAGGTCATCCTTTTCTTTTCTTTTTTTCCCCCTTCCGTCTTTCCCGGTATTAAAGCCTGAGAGCCAAATCTTCCAATAATGTATCCAAAGTAGGATTTTGAGCCTGGTCATTTATGCCTCAAGTAAGAACCCTGATTTGTTCAAAGATCCATTTGTTTATTTTCTTGGCTGTCTACAATATACTCAGGACTCACTGATTGACAATGATTTGTCAATGTCGATGGTGTACAAGTGGAGCTCCAGTTGTTTTGGGATTGCACTCTCAAAGTGCCTATTAAGTTTACTTTTCCTTTCTTTTGCCACCATCATTAGTGTGGTAGACCTATCATCCTAGTGGAGCTGTGGTGGCGCAGTGGTTAGAGTGCAGTACTGCAGGCTACTTCTGCTGATCACCGGCTGCCAGCAGTTTGACAGATCGAATCTCACCAGGCTCAAGGTTGACTCAGCCTTCCATCCGTCTGAGGTTGTTAAAATGAGGTCCCAGATTGTTGGGGGCAATAGGCTGACTCTGTAAACTGCTTAGAGAGGGCTGTAAAGCACTGTGAAGCGGTATATAAATCAAAGTGCTATTGCTAGTGTTATTGCTATCATTCTACTTCTACTTGAAGGTCTTCGTATTTTGTCATTTTTCTCCAGTTCTTTCTCTCCTATTCTGCTGTCTCCTCTACTGCAACAACCATTATCCAGACTTTTTTGTCTTTATTATCACCAATTGTTAAGGCTGGGGTGTTACATGGAAGATATCTGTTATTGTACGTTATTACTATTATTATCATAATCTCCAGTACAATTTAAATAAGTTTTAGGTAAAATGAAAAGGATTTTTAAAAAATCTTGAGAGAAAACTAAAATAAGATAGGAAACATGCGGAGCAGGGGAACAGAAGCTGTAGTCCACATTGATATGCATGGATTTGACAACTAAAAGATGTGCATTCCTCTCCCCTTGAAAATATGCTTCCGGCAAAATCCCTGGCAAAAATGGAGGACTCTGGAATGGTTGATTGAACTGACCACTCCCAGACGACTTGACATATGGAAGCCAGTGCCAACATGCTACAACCTGTTGTATGGCGTTAGAGAATAAATGACTGAACAGGTTGAATTGCTGTTAATGGCCATAAGCAGTGAAGGATGGTTAGGACAGCTATGCCACACTTATTCATGTTTATCATCTTAATACTCAACTTCACGGAAAATATAATCATCTGAATACAATCATTCTATTGTATATTGATAAAGAAATGTCTACTCGTTTTAAATCAAGGTTATTAGATAACCTGTCTGTTGCATAGTAATGCCATGATTCAATTTCCTTTTTAAATATACAGTATGTGCTGTGTAAACATGAACTATGAATAAAATTAAATGCAAAAAATCATTCTACTTGTTCCACTACAAAGATTAAGATCTATATTTTTAGTATGGCTAAGAGATAAACAAATTACAAAACAAAATTCAGTATAAAGTGATATTGTAGGACACCGAAAAGAATGAGGTCTTTATTAAACTATATATTATCTCTCGTTACCCAAAAAAAATCCTGTTTAACCTTTTGATTTTATGGTAACACTTCATCTACTTTAGCCTAAAATCTAGAGCTGTAACTCAGGCATTATTTATTTAACTCTGCACAATCCAGAAAACATAATTTGAAAATAACTGCATTTGAATTTTTCACATAAGCAGAATCTGAGTTTAGCACTTCTATTTCAGCAGTTCTAATTTAGCAATTGATCTTAATAAGATAATTTTGTATTTTTATTATTATTATTATTATTATTATTAAATTTTTATACCGCCCTTCTCCCAAAGGACTCAGGGTGGTACAGCCATATTAAAACAAACATATACCCATAAAATTTAAAAACAATTTAAAATATATAAAATTTGGCCCTTATGTTAAAAGCTACAAACACCCAATTAAAATTCATTTTCTAAGCCAGTGGAAAGATATCAAAGGAAGTCCTAACTGGATTTTGATTGGCAGGGAATTACAGATCTAAAAGTAATTACCAAGGTTGCTAAACATGCTTTTGATAATGATGGAACTGAGATAGCAATAGTGCTTTACAGCACTCTCTGAGCAGATTACAATGTCAGCATATTGTTCCCAACAATCCAGGTCCTGATTTTACCAACCTCGAAGGATGGAAGACTGAAACTCTCTAAGCCTTATCTCATAAGAGATAAACGTCTCTCTTGGGCAAAACATGGGCTTCAAATCATTTGGTGGAGTCTTTCCTAATTAGTTGCTTTTAAATGTGAGTACTTCAACTCCCAGAATTCATAACAATGGTCATGGTTGGGAAAATCTCGGAATTGAAATCCACACATCTGGATAGTGCCACGACTGATGATACAGTATTGAGAATTTAGTGTAGACCTATCATAATGTTTTTATTCTCCCTCTCTAATGATTTGGAACACGGGTGTCAAACTCATGGCATCACATTGCCGTCATGTGATGTTTTTCCCTTCATGGAGCAGGAGTGGGCATGGCCTGTGCATGATGCATCCGGCCCACGGGCCACCAGTTTGATACCCCTGTTCTAAAAAGAATAATACTGGAAAAGTTCTACTTGGTGTGTTCTCTTTTTTGGAACTACTATATTGTCAATTCTCAGTTCCAGGTTCATGAAGAAAGAAGTCAGAAATCCAGGACTTGAAAGATTCACTACCAATGGATCCTTTGGGTTAAAAATAAATAACATATTTTAATACTGGAATAATCATTAAATAATCACCTAATGATTATTCATTTTCTAAGGAAACTCTTACTTAGCAATATTAAAGCAGTAAAATTATAACAATGATGAAAAGTAACCCATTCTATTTCTGTGAACATTTCACATAATTTAGAAATCTATACAATCAGGAGTATGACCACCATAGTACCCAACTTCATGATTTCTGTCGACAAGTAAAAGAATACTTTATTTAAAAGTATATAAATGTTTGATGAGCTGCTAAGTCTCTAGATAAGTCAAAAGTCTGCATCCCTAATATTCAGAATAGTGGAAACAAACAGAAGGGAGCCTGTAGTTATGCCCACAATCTGTTTTCGCAAAATGTCCGACAGCTGCAACACTAACAAAATTAACAGTGGATGAATTAGTACCATACACTAAGCAGTTGCTATGGAAAAAGAAATTATCCATTTCTTTCTTTTTGTTTAAGACTTATTGTAGGTTATTAATATTTAGGAAGGGATACTCATACCAAAAATGCAAATGCTTACTGTTTTATTTTTAAACAGCACAATGGATTTCTGCTGATTGGACTACCCGTAAGATATATTAAATAAATCACTTTAAATTTATATAGGTAAATATTTCCACATGAAAGTTACTACTGACACAAGGAATATCCTTACTTCTGGCAGAGCTGGTTGAACAAAATTTTAGGAGAAAGAGGACCTTTCCCAGCATCTTTCATGCTATGAAGAAACAGAAGCATGGCTGAAGTCAGAGATCCAGGATTTGAAAGATTCACCACCAATGGATCCTTTGGGTTAAAAATAAATAACATATTTTAATACATGATAGTAACCCACCGCATGTATGTTTAAACTAAACATTTCATGCAGTTCAATATTATATGAAAATACTTCTATTCAGATAGTAGGAGTTCTCTAGCTCTCCTCCAGCCTGCCCCTTCCGGCATGTTTTCCGGATCTATTATAAAGGGTCCCCCAAACCTGAAACAGAAGAAGAATCTTCTCCAGAACTTCTTTTGATTAAACCTATGATTTCAACTTTAAAACAGGTTGTTGTAATGGGCAACGATTTTGATAGAAGGAACATTAGGGCGAAGCAACATTTAACTCATAATATACAGGAGAAAATACAAATCTAATACAAATCTAAATACAAATCTAAATCAAAAACAAAATACAAATCTAAACGAAGAAATACATTTTGCAGAAAAAAATCAAGACTGATATTAGATAATTATATCTAGTTTTCTCTAGATGACATGGGTGGTATATACATCAAATAAATAAATAAAATTTAGCCATACGCAAGTCTCATAAGGGTTTTTCAATGTAATTTTTTAAGCCTTTAGTTTCTAAACTAAATCTGGTATATCAACTCCAGCTACAGTATATGGACTCACAAACTAATGGCATTAGAGGAATTGAAAGGTTGACATTTTCATTAGGGGGGAAAAAAGAGAAACTAAACCAGGCTTCATTGAGCAAAGTGTGTCCAAATAGCAATCCTGGGGCTTGAGCAGTGATTTAGTGCAGGGGCCTCCAATCTTGGCAACTTTAAGATTTGTGGACTTCAACTCCCAGAATTCCTCAGCCACAAGTCTTAAAGTTGCCAAGGTTGGAGGCCCCTGATTTAGTGCAACCAGGTAAGTCAGAATAAGAGGTGACATCCTCCGTTTAAAAAAAGACTTCTGTAGAACAGATGGTGATGTACTACACTCCTGCTTGGAGAAAGGGAAGGAAGGAAATGGTTTTTGTCATCCACATTTCTCCTGAATCCTTTGGTGCCACACCTTCCCAGATGGTCCCCCCAAACCCACACTCCAAAGGGGGAAAATGGAAAAAAAAACATCTTTCCTCAGCTACGATACTCCTTGAGCATAATTCTGCTGATTCAAACTCTAGTGCCAACTACAAAATGATACGGCTCATTGTGCACTAGAAAAATGATTACATAAAGAGTGTTCCTTATCGTTCTTAGTGTCCACATAATGTAATGCTTAGAGATTGGTTCAAGAGAATGCTTACCAGTTGAGATGTTGGGCTTTGAGCTATTTTTAGCTTTGTCCCCTTTTCTTTCATTTCGCACATTAGCTCGCTTAACATGTGTGTCTGTGCCAAGTTCTAAAACAAAATGGAAAAAAAAAGCTTTAGATAATGAGCGACTGGACCAATAAAAGTGATTTTTTTAATCGAGTTGCTTCAAGCTACAGAATGTATACAGGTAGTCCTCAACTTAACAACAATTCATTAAGTGATCTTTCAAAGTTACAACGACACTGAAGTTATGACGTTTTTCACACATTTTACGATCATTGCAGTGTCCCCAAGGTCATGTGATCAAAATTCAGAAGCTTGGCAACTGACTCATATTTATGACGGTTGCTGTGACCCAAGGTCACAGAATCCCCTTTTGTGATCTTCTGACAAGCAAAGTCAACAAGGAAACCAGATTCACTTAATAACTGTGTCACTAATTTCACAGCTGCAGCAATTCACTTAAAAACTGTGGCAGGAAAAGTCATAAAATGGGACAAAATTCACTTAACAAATGTCTCAATAGCAACAAAAATGTGGGGCTCAATTGTGGTCTTAAGTTGAGAACTACTGGTAAATGATCTTTCATGACAGTTGCTTGACTGGATTATAGGTACGTGTATCTAATGAACAAGACTTTTGATATTTTAATTAATGTGTAACTGCCTGTATCTCATACTATAGATCTTTTCAAAGGCAATCTCAAGACCAAGAAAATGAGTCTCTGGTCTCTGCTTGAAAATTTTCTTCTTGGATTACTTTATACATATATACTAGGCATTTCTATAAATACATTTAAATATTAGACATTTCTTAAAAACATAAGAGCAATATTAGATGTAAACTAGATATCCAGTTCTACAATTTTGCACAACTTGTGTTGAAAAGGGAATGAACTACCCATATAACATATCATAGCTTGATCTGCTTATTGCCATAGTCACTCTTACTTCTTTGTTGTGTGATTGTTAAAGATTTCTGAGCAGTTTTACCTGCATAACAGCATTAAAGAAACATGTGTTCCCTAAGTTATTAATGCCTTTAACAGGAACAGATGCCCAGCTGGAACTGAGGCCTCTTCCTCTTAATATGTCATTTGCTTCATTGTTTTCTTCATGTAACCAAATAATTTTTGACGATGAACCTTTAATGAGAAAAGATAAGAATCAAATATTGTACACAAGGTACTGCACACTGACCTTTTAATAAAACCCAAAATATCAAAAGCAACATAAACGTCCAGTTTGGAACGATACTATGTTCATAAGAAATTCATTCAAAGAGTTTGGAAACAGCTACTAACTAAAGTCAATCAGTTCTCAGGCTCTGATTGGCAACTCTTCCTATGTTGGGAAGACACTGCAGTTGCTATTTATGCTGTATAGATTATATTTATGCTCACCTGTAATATAGAAATGATAGGCATAATCAAATCGACTCAAAAATCAAGAGAATGGCATATAGTTTTTCTTTAACAACAAAGATAAGGTCCATTTTCATAAATAGTTGTAAAATGGGATGGATCAACAAGAACACAAGACTTTTTTTTTAATTTGATTTATATGCCGTCCTTCTCCGGAAACTCAGGGCAGCTTACAATGCATTAAGCAATAGCCTTCATACTTTTGTATATTTTATACAAAGTCAGCTTATTGCCTCCACAATCTGGATCCTCATTTTACCTACCTTAGAAAGGATGGAAGGCTGAGTCAACCTTGAGCCTGGTGAGATTTGAACTTGCAGTAATTGCAGGCAGCTGATGTTAATAACAGTGCTTTAGTCTGCTGCGCTACCAGAGCTCTTTTGCATTAATACTAGCACCATGAATTGTCTTTGGCCCTTTGGTTTCAAGTCTAAGATATAGAAAGTGCTGGAGTGGACGAAGTTAATTTGAATCACACATTTTCCAATTTCCTGTGGTATTCTAGATTTCAAGTTTTGAGCCTGCAGTTCTTGAAAAAATGAAAAATCTGCCACACGATGAGTTACAGAATAGTCTGTACTTTTTAATTGAGTCTATTACATCATATTCTTTGTATAAGACTCCAGTTTTTAAGGCACATAAAACAGCATGTCAACATTAACTGGAAATGAGAATTATGAAGCAGAAGCTTAAGCAACCTAGTTGAAATCAAACTTACTCCAAGATAAGTAAACTTACTCAAACTTACTCCAAAATAAGTAAATAAATAATACTGCAGCTTCACATTTTTGTCTAGTAAATGACCAACAATTAATTACTTTAAGCAATTGGCTAGATATCATTTGTCCCCGTGACATAATTCTGTGACTCCTTAATCTAGATCAGGGGTGTCAAACTCAAGGCCGGGGGCCGGATCCAGCCTGCGGGGTGCTTAGATCTGGCCTTTGGGGCCACCCTTGAAATAGCAAAGGACTGGTCCACAGTGCCTCTGCCAGAGAAAACGGAGCTTGGGAGGGCCACACACAGCCCTCCCGATCTCGGTTTTCACTGGCAGAGGGTTGCAGGAGGCCGTCACAGCCAAAAACGGAGCTCAGGAGCCCATTTCCTCTGACAGAGCCACCACAGGCATCCCCAACACAAGTGACATTGAGCTGGTCACGCCTACCCTGGCCACACCCACTTCTCCCTCCCCAGGTCAAATACAACCCTGATGCAGCCGTCAATGAAATCAAGTTTGACAATCCCTGATCTAGATACTTGCCACCAGAAGTGAAATGAGAAAGTTCTTAATGAGTAATACAGAGGTAATGAGAAATCCTGAAATATGCTATTCAGCCTAGATTTCAACTTGCAACTTTCATATTGTCTCATGGGTCCTGAACTAAATATGAAAACTACTGTCATATATAATATTTCAAGTACTTTCCAACAATTCATGCCGATGGTAACTAGTAACAGGCTTAAAGGATGCGTTCCTGACACCTACATGGAATAAGCAGCAGATATTTTTCTCTTTGCACCCTGATAGAGAAACATCTGTCGTTACCTAGAATTGAACTCTCAACCTTCCAAGTGCAAGGCATACATCTTCACCTCTAGGCCACCGTTCCTGTGACTCATAGGTAAATGCTGTCAAAGGCAGTGGCTACATTCTCCCCCTATTTCAAAATTATCTTTATACAATAGCAGTGCATTCCTTGTAGACCACTCCCTAAAGAAACAGTCAGCAACAATATCAACAACCTAAAATATGTATTTCTCTGTTCATAATATAGGTCTGCAACATGCCTCAGAACAAAGAAAAAAATTAAAATAATGCCCCTGAAAGTTCCCAGGTGCCTCCTGAAAATTTGATTCAGGGTGATGATGGACAAAAAAGAGCAAGGGCCACAGTGACGCAGTGATTAGAATGCAGTACTGCAAGCTAATTCTGCTGACTGCCGGCTGCCAGCAGTTTGGCAGTTCGAATCTCACCAGGCTCAAGCCTTCCATTCTTCCGAGGTCGGTAAAATGACCCAGATTATTGGGGGCAATATGCTGACTCTGTAAACCATTTAGAGAGGGCTGTAAAGCAATGTGAAATGGTAAGTGCTATTGCTATATTTGGAATCATGCAAAAAGGAAGATTTGAAAAGTAATTCCTATCATAAAACTTTAAATCCAATTGCATAATTTTGGATTTAATATTTTAGAATTCTCAAAGCAAGAAAGATAGAACTGATGCTTTGAAAATTAGTGATTAATTATAATTCTGTTTCATCTTTATGTAAACTCAAGCAAGCACCCTTACTTTGGATTTCTTTCCTTTTCTCATTCATTTCATAGTCTTTTAACAATCCCTTATGATATGGATAATATGAAAGGTAGTATCAGTTTAAGACTTTTATGGCTAATTTAAACTTTTGTTTTGCTGCACCAAGCCTGACAGCAATCTATTAGGTCGACATGACTCACATCTTTAAAAAAAACACAAGAAACGGATATTTTCATTTCAAGTACATATAATATATTTTGATTTTTGACGGAAGCCTAAATTGTATGCTTAATTTGTATATTGGTACACCACAGTTGTTGCATTTATCCATCGGCATTCAACAACATCTGGGAAAACATCTTAAAGTAAACAATGCTCAGTATGCCATCTGGACCAAACTGCAGGCAAAAATTAAAACAGAAGCATATGGAAAAACAGATTTTAACTCCCCTTCAGCACTGCAGGATGACAAATGTCAGATCTGGATCTGTCCACGCTTCACTGTGCGATGCTTTGCAGCACCACCTGGCTCTCCTTGCACAGCCACCAAATATGGGCAACCCTGCCACAGCGGACCATATCCGCAGGGCAAACTTAATAAAAGCATTTCATTTCATGGTTAAATGACAGCTTCACACAAGTAGCGAGACTCTGTCTACTGAATCTCCAATCTTGAATCATCCAGGAGAAAAATAAAACACACCAACCCCCTGAAACTGCCCCCCCCCAAAACTACAAAGAGCAAACAAACCATATTACAAGACCTGAATGCTCATATAATTATAAATGTAAGAAACCATAATTACGCAATCTTAAAAGTACATTATTTTAACGGCAACCTTAATAAAATCCCGTCTTTCAATATCTGAATCCCAGTCGCTATATCAGTGAGATGGGCAGCATAGAAATTTAATGAATAAAACAAAACTTTCAATGTGTTAACTCAAGCCTAATCCCAAACATACTTTCCAGGGAGAAGGTGCATTGAAAATAGTATGCCCTATTTCTTAATGAAATTAGTTCAGGTACATGGAAATCAACTAAGCATTTGGTAGTAAGTCCTACTGAAGTCTATGACTTGTACTAAATATGTGGTTTGTATAGTCACATAGGGCTGTTGAATAAACCTCAGTTGGTTGGTTTCATATCTACTGAGCAATAAACCACTGTTTACAAACCGCAACAGTTAGAATCACAGTATGTTGATCTAAAGCCAAAATTATGTATGATTTGAAATAATGCAAAAGCCAAAAATACTTTCAAATAAATGTTCATAAAATCACATGCTCCATGAAGAAAGGATAATGGTATGCTACTTCAAAACAAGTCTCAAAGCATTAACTGGAGTTTCCTCAGTCTAAAATGTAATTGCAGATCTACAACATTCATTTAACTTCTCACCTATCTTTTTTCTATTCTTGTGTTATTGTGAGTTTAGCATGCATTTTACCAAACATTTATCCTTAAAGCCTGCACTAATCCATTTTAACTAACAGCTATGTCTCTGACTATACTCATTTCTTTTACATCTTATTGAAACGGATATTTAAATGGACACACAGATGGCACCAAAAGTAAAAAAAAAGCAATTGTTCACTATATATATTTAATCATTGTATATTTTCCATCTTTAAACATTAAAAAGTCAGTATTTTTATCCACTGAATATTTCAGTTGCAAAACTATATCAATCTTGTCTGTTATAAAATTCACATCTTGCAGTGCATTGCTAAGATCTTTAAAAGTAATAATCTATGTGCAAAACCAATGATAATAATGAACCATTTTAATGAATCAATATTAACTTCAAATCATCATAAAATAATAAAAAGGAAGAGGAAGAAAAAAAAAGAGCTGTAAGATTGAATCCAGTGGTGGCACTGAATGAAATAATTCCCATCCAAGCAAGATTTCTAGATTTCCACCTTTTCTAGGACAAAAATGAAAATCACTGTAAATATCCTTATATAAGGTAGTCCTCAATTTATGACCACAATTGAGCCTAAAATTTCTACTGTTAAGTAAGAAATTTGTTAAGTAAGTTTGCCCCATTTTACAACTTTTCTTGCTGCATTTGTGAAGTGAATCATGGCAGTTGTTAAATTAGTAACACGGTTTTTAAGTGAATCTGGCTTCCCTATTGACTCTGCTTGTCAGAAGGTCGCAGAAGGGGATCACATGATCCTAGGACACCACAACCGTCATAAATGTGAACCAGCTGCCAAGAATCCGAATGTAAATCACATGAGCATGGGGATACTGCAACGGTCATAAGTGTGAAAAATGGTCATAAGTTATTTTTTTCAATGCCATTGTAACATCAAATGGTCACTAAGCAAAGTCAAGGTCTACCAATACAATTTCCCCTACATTTAAATAAATGAACCAATGGCTGCTTGGGAAACTCAAAATAGGCACCCTTGAAATGGCTCTCAATGGCTTGGAGATCTGGGAAAGATTTCAGTGG